CCCACAGGATCTTAGCCCTGTTATTCTCCACGACCTTCTGTGGAATCTCCCATCTGTACTTGGGGAGGTCTAGCCCATACGCTGTGTATATATCAATCATGGAGGATCTTTCTATATTGCTCTGCCCAATATAGATGCCTGCTTTTTTAGCTGGGCAGCTAAGATAACCTTCATGGCTTGGGTGACCCTGTTGGGAGTACTGTATATACTCTTGGCGTTCTTGGCTCATCCCTCCCAAAAACACTCCCACCACCACAATGAGACAACATAGCAGGACCTGAGTTACTCCTGATGCTTTCTATTAGAAGGGTCAAGTGAACTGCAGAAGAGTTCTGACTTGGGAAAGCAGCTGGTGGTCAGGATGTCCAGTGCCATTCTAATTTGATCAATAATCTGATTCAAGACTGAAGAAGAGCAGATTAAAGGGAGATGTGCTGGCCATTTTTTCAATATCTCAAGGGTTATCACAGAAGATGCAGCAGAGGGTAAGGAATGAAATTTGCGAAGAAGCAGACTTGAGCTGAACAGCAGTAAGCATTGTTTGACAATGTTGGCAGTCCCTCTTCTGCTGGCTGTATTAGAGGAAGAGTGGTGTAGTTGCATCCTGCTCCATAAATCATGTGCTAAATACCATACAAGACCCCTTTCAACTCCATAATCTTAAATTCTGTGCTTCTCTGTCTCGGTTTGCTCATCTATAAATTAAGATAATACTCATTCAAGCTTTATTCCTGGAAACACAAGACGGTTTCTTTGAAGATTATAAGGAGTCACTGTGGAGAGATTAATAAAAGATAACTAGAATATCCCTACCAATCTTCCCCTTTTTCATGCAAATTTAAGCATCTAATGCATTCTAGGACACACAGTTAGGTCACATCAACAAATACAGTCAACCCCGTGCTGCTGAACGATCTTGACCAGCAGTTTCATGGAGAGGTTAGAGGAGCAGTGAGAGATCCAAACCCTGAGGCACCCCACACAAAAGGGGCTTATAGGTGGACCTCTCCCCTGCTACTAGCACCAACTGTCACTGGCCACGGAGGAAGGAGGAGAACCACTGCAAAACAATACCCTCCACTCCCAATCCCCAAAGCTGCTTCGGAAGGATACCATGGTTGATGGTATCAAAACCACTGAGAGATCCAGAAAGGCCAGGGAAGTTGGACCACCCCCATCCTGAGCCCTCCAGAGGTCATCCACAAGGGTGACCAATGGGGCTTTGCGACTGTAACCCAGCCTGAAACCAGCCTGAAAAGGGCCCACATAATCTGCTTCATCTTGGGCCTTCTGAAGCTGAGCACCTACCACACCCTCCACAACCTCCCTAGAAAGGGAAGGTTGGACACTGGATGAAAGTTGTCTAGCACTGTGGGGTTCAAGGAGGGCCTCTTGAGAAGAGGGCACACCGTTGCCTCCTTCAAGGCAAGCAGCAGCATCTCCTCTCGCAGCGTTACTTGCACCCAACCCAACCACCTCCTGGGAGTCCTTAACCAACCAGAAAGATCCTGTCCATTTCAATTCAATTTATTTATTGGTTTGACCATGAGTCATAACAAATAAGGTAAAGCCTGCACAAAAGTGGCCATACATTAATAAAATACATTAAAATATACAAAAATCAGTAGAGCCCACTTCTTCAGATCGACCAGTTCAAATTCTTTCCAGATAACTGAACTTGGACAAGCCCCGGGCACTTCCATAGGATCTGCCCAGCTGGAGTCCAACTCCAAATGAAACCAAGCAACTCTGTCTGACAGATGCTGAGATTATTCCTCACAGCAGCCCCACAAAGGCTCCCCTGACTCCTTCTTACCTTATTCACCCAAAATAGGGCTGCCAACTGGCTGTCTACAGTGGCAATAAGAACAGAGAAGTTGGCTTGCTTTACCACTTGACACAAGCCAAGTCCTAATAAAAGCTCTTACCTCTGCTTGGTTGGCTTCCGCTGTTCGTCTTTTGCCAGTGGTGCTCTAGGCGTCCCTTCTGTCACTTCATCTCCTGGAGTTTCATAGTGAACCAAGGAGCTCTGCAGGATCCACAATTACTGAGAGTCCACACAGGCACGATCCAGTCCAAGGCCCCTGCTGCATGCTCATTCCAAGCCATTGGCCAAGCCATGCGCCACAGCATCAGGAATAACCCCAAGTTCTCTCTGAAACCACCCTGGGTCCATTAGTCACCTGAGGCAGTCCAATCAAATAGGCCCTTACTTCTCTGCAACCAATGCAGCTCCCACCAGACATGTGTCTTTCTGTGCACCGGCTAACTCCGGTCAGCAAGTGGGCAGCGGCATTCTGTGCCAGCAACAGTTTCTGGGTCATCTTCAAGAGCAATCTCATGTAAAATGAACCACAGTAGTTAACTGAGAGATGACAATGGCATGAGTCGTCGTCTTCAGTGCCTCCTAATCCAGGAACAAGCACAACTAGTGGACCCACCAAAGCTGACCAAAGGCTCTCTTGACCACAGGTTCCACCTGGTTTTTGGCTTGTAAAGTATCGTTTATGGCTTAGCATATTGTTCCAATAGAAGAGAATATCTGTAGCTCAGGGTTGAACTGTGGAGTCCTTGGTGCTCTCTGAGCTTGGTTGTTTGCTTGCAGACGTTTCATTACCCAACTAGGTAACATCATCAGTGCTGTTGTGACTGTCATGGTGTGTTTTCTCAGTACAGAATGCACTCAGATTCCTCTGCCATGCACAATGCTAGTATGGCAAAAAGTTCAGGAATTTCTCACTAGAGATCCATCCAGAGACCTTAACAGTTGTTATAGATGTTACAATGCAGGGGGAGTGGTTAGCCAACAGGAAAGAGAGCATGCCAAGCTGATTGCTCACTTCCCAGACCAGCTACGGTATATTAAAATATTAGCCATTCCAATTTGGCCAAAAAGTTTGCTGGTTGATAAGAATAATTGCCAGAAACATCCACAAAAGGAACTTCACAAAGAGTCAGAAGAACAAAGGCATAGATGGAAGACTCAAAAAGATTCACCCCCTTCCAGTAATGAGGAAGGAGAAATAGAGGAGGAAGAGCATCGCAAATCAACAATGGACATTTTTAGATAATTTAACAATAGAAAATTGGCATTCAAAGATATGGTCTATAGATATGTGCCAAAAAAAAAAAATGGATAGAATTGAAAATTTAAATATGCAGAAGGCCAAATCAGAATTTTATCAAATTTGGAATCATAATGTATTATATAGCAATAAGGTTTAACAAATGTTGTGGTATCTGAGTATTTCAACTGCTGCAAATTTGTAATGTATGTACATATTTGTAATGGAGTACATATTTCCACCAAGGGACAATGTTGATATAAGTACACTACCCAGGTTTTCAAAAGGGGGTGACAAGTCTGTTCTCTAATTCAGATATCAGTGATGAAAAGTTGGAGATCCCTGAAGAAGAGATCACCCCATTCCAAAACAGGAAGAACACCTATTGCCAGGCAGATGAACAGTATATTCTTTTCTATCTGAATTCAGGGTTAGTTTATTAAAGCAGTCCTTTACTACTTGCCTACTGGTTCCCTATGATGTTAGTGTTTAATTCCTGGGTATTCAGTTATCTCCCCAAAGCTGCTACTGCTATAAATGGAGAGTAGCTCTAGACTGTGACACCTTGTTACTGTGCACAGTGTGTCACTGTAACCCTTACAGCTTCCACAGAATCTTTTTAACTATGAAGACATACTGTTTTCTGATAACGTCTTCAAGGAACAGAATCTGTAGCTCATTGGCTTTTAAAGCAACAAAAGATGGATTGTTAGATGGTAAGATAGCCAGTGTTAGGCAGAAGATGGACCAGGATCTAATGGTAGATCTCTGGAATTTGTTCAAAGCTAGGCTTTTGTTATGTTGTTCACAGAATTTAACAAGAGACCCAGATAATGTTTTCTCTTCTGTGCTTTCTCAATTTATCCATCCATCCATCCATCCATCCATCCATCCATCTCTCTCTCTCTCTCTCCCCCCTTCCTTCCTTCCTTCCTTC